GCCAAAGAGGCCCCCAAGACCACCCCAAGACGGCTCGAAAGGCCTCCAAGAGGGCCCCAAGATGGCCCCAGAGCACCACCAGACGGCCCAAGAGGCGCTCAAGACGGCCCAAGGGGGCACCAAGACGGCCCCAAAAGGTGCCCCAGAGAGGGAACACGAACCAAAAATGCAAGCTTTCCACCCCAAGAGGCCCCAATGAGGCCCCAAGAGAGGCGCCCAAGAGGCCCCCGAGAGGCCCCCGAGAGGCCCCCGAGAGGCCCCGAGATGCCCCCAAGAGGCCCCCGAGAGGCTATAAAGAGACTCAGAAACGGCCCCAAAGAGGCGTCCAAGCTGCCTCCAAGTGGCCCCAGAGAGGCCTCCCACGAGATCCCAACGAACATCCACGTGGCTTCATACCCACAACGCGTGCACAGTGGCGGGACTTCCCGCAGGCAGCTAGAGAAAGAGAGAGAGAGAGAGAACTGCAGATACCGACATTGACTCATGGACAGAAGTGGAAACGGACTCTGAGCCAGAGCCCGAGACGGGTGGTGCCAGTGTCAGCGAGGGAAGGGTCGACAGTTCCTCCCTCACTCCCGCCCATTCCTCCGCCTATCAGGGACGAAGCAAAGCCGCACGCACGCGCATGAGCACACTTTGGCTTCGAGAGAGCGCACTGCACAAGCGTCCGTAACAGGAGGGCTGTCCAGCAACCCCAGGAGTGTTCATGCGCGTGGCTCGGCGCTCCTCCTGACCCCCCTCCTCCCGAAGGCGGAACGACATGGCGGGAAAGGGCTCCGCGGGGTGAACACCGACTTGGCATCGGCGATGCATATCGCCAAAATACATCGGCGGCGGGCCCCCGATGGCAGCACCGCAGACTCCTGGGCGGGGCGGGGCGGCGTAGCACGGGGCCCCGATCGGCGATGACTGGGCGCTCGGGGGTCGACGCTTCCCCCGGGGCCAGCCCCCCCCCCCCCTGACGCTGCCCCCGACGTGGCCTCGGGCCACGCGCCGGACACACCGACGGAGGGCCCGCGCACCCGGCCAGCCTGGTCGTGCGCGGGCCGAGCGGTGGAGGCGGAGAGGCACGTGCGGCACGAGGCGTCCTAAGGACCGCTTTTCCAGCGGCGATGACCCGGGTTATCCGTGGGGGGGGGGGGAGGGGGCCGGCCGATAACCTGAACTTCGCGCTGTGGGCAGCCCTGCATATGCCCGCGCCCCCCCACCCTGGACCTGCACAACGGGCAAGGTTAGGCTACCCGGGGGGGGGGGGAGGGGGGGCAAGCCTGACAACCCGGGTTATCGCCAGACCCTAAAAAAAGCAGTCTCCTACCCCTCCTCCACCACCACATCATCTTCATCCTTCACACGGCGGGTTCGAGAAGCCCTGTGGCCCCAAGCAGTTGGCATCTCTTGAGCGTGCTGCCTCTGCCTCCGCCGCCGTCCGCCGAGCTTCCGCCGAGCTTCTGCCTGCGAAGCCGCCACCGGTTGACCTCCGCCGCCGTCCGCTGGCCTTGCCTCGCCCTCCGCCGAGGAAGAGGTGTCAACTCCTCCGACCCTCGTAGGCGAGGCCCTTTTCTGGAGCGCCCCCACATGTCCCCCTCCCCTAAAGGCCTCCCAAATCGGGTGCGAGCAGATGGGGTCGAAGGATCGCGCCCCCTCGCCAGTGCATCGCCGATGCATCGCCGATGCATCGGCCAAGCATCGGCAACGTCCATCGCCGGCGCGATCCTCCGACCCCATCTGCTCGGAGCCTATTTGGGAGGCCTGGATCCTCCTTGCCCCCCCACGCCTCCCCCTCCTTCCTGGTCAGGCTTTGGGTTGCGCACAGACGGCTACAGACGGCTAGTCCTGGCTGGCCTCAACAGGCCCCCGACTGGCCCCAGCTGGCCTCAACAGACCACCCGAGCAGTCTGGGGCGGCCTCAACACCCTGGCACCGCCTCCAGCGGCGCCCCTGGGGGCGCTCCGCGCGCCACAGTTGGGGTGTTGGGACCGCACCGGACGACTCGGGAGGCCTGCGGAAGCCAGCTGGGACTGCTCGGGGAGCCTGCTGAGGCCCAGCCGGGACTACCTGGTGGGGCTGTCTGTGCGCAACCCGAAGTCTCAGCCAAGTAGAAGATCGACTACATCATCGACGTACCCCAACATCGCTGTTTCGCCGAATCTACAATAGTCGTGTGGAGCGTTCGTAGATCTACGAAAAGCATATCTATGTTTCCCAAGGTCGCTGGACAACTCGGGGAAATAACATTAGGTCGGGCATGACCTCCTACAGGCGGATTGTGACGGAAAATTCTCAATAAATGCACAATAATGATCCAAACGAAACAGTAGAAACATCGTCCCCAGACGATTTCTGACCATTTTTGAACACACCTCCTGTAGAGTGACATGCCCGACTGAAAAATAATAAGGGGGGTGTCCAAGAGGGGGGGGTGCAAATCATGACCGGCGGCATGTGCGCGGCCCAGCGGGGGGGCCAGGGACGCAATGATACAAGAAGAGGCGCCATGAGATCTGGGGAAATATCATGGCCCCCGCCATGATACAGTCGGACCTAGGCCAGAAGAACATCCTTCAAGAACATGAGACCCCCCGTCGGCCAAAACTAACAGAACATCCAAGGGCACCCTCCCCAGGAGGCACAAGAACACCCAATAAACACGAAGAACACGAGGGTACCCTCCCCGAACCAACCTCGATCTTATACCTCGGACCGACTGTATCCCCCCCCCCTAGTCATCACCCCCCTCTTTCCCGCCCCCGATGAACTCCGGCTCCTGCTCCTCCTCTCCTCCTCCTCCTCCTCTCCTCCCTCCTCCTCCTCCTCCTCCTCCTCCCTCCTCCTCTCCTCCTCCCTCCTCCTCCTCTCCTCCTCCCTCCTCCTCCTCCTCCTCCTCCTCCCCTCCTCCTCCTCCTCCTCCTCCTCGTGTGCGTGCGGGAGGCCGCCCCTGCGGCCGAGGAGCCCCCGACACACGCAGGGTGGACGGCTCGGACGCTGGCCCGGGGCGGCCGTCCTCCGCTCCCAGCCAGCCCGGAACCAGGTGCAGGTCGCCGCTGGGCCTCTGCTCCCGCCGCCCGGGGGCCGCCCCGCCGCCGGAGCCGCCCAGACGCCCGCCTGCCTTCCGCTCGGGATCCTCCTCCTCCTCCTCCTCCTCCTCCTCCTCCTCCTCCTCCCTCCTCTCTCTTCCTCCTCCTCCTCCTCCTCCTCCTCCTCATCCCCCTCCTCCTCCTCTTCCTCCTCCTCTTCTTCCTCCTCCTCCTCCTCCTCCTCCTCCTTGTTCTCCCCAGACCCCTGAGGGCCCTCTGAGTCCTGAAAATAACTCAGCGCGGAAGGCGTGTCGCTATGTTTCGGCTGCACGCAGGAGCGACTTGGGTAAGAGTAACCTTTGGTGTGCGGCTTCTTGAGGGCCGCGGGGGACCCAACGCAAGCGTGCAATATGCTGCTATCGCATCGCGTTCGGCGATCGGGGGACCGCACTGGGCCCGCACCAAAGGTCACTCCGGCGAAAAGGGCCCTTGCCGGGTCCCGGGGTCGTCAACAGAAAGACTCGGGATGAAACTCTGGTCCGGGGGAAAGGGTCGGGACCCCCGGGGGGCCCGCATTAAACAAATCAGGACATCGCATGTGTGGGGGAGGGTGAGATGAGGCGGGAGGATGTTGTGGGGGATGCTGGCGACGACGGCGGCGGCGAGGAGAAGGTGGTGGAGGCCTGCGGCGAAGGAGCCAGAGGGCGGTGGACGAGTAGGATGAGGGGTGCGACGAGGGCAAAGGGGAGGGGCTAAGGATAGAGGGCAAAGAGTCCATCCCCATCATAACCACCCCGACACGCGAAGCCGTTTACTAAACGCCCCCACTGAAGGAATCGAAGAGGGCAAGGCTGTTTAGTAAACGCCCAAGGCCGCTTAGTAAACGCCAATTGTCCGATCTGGGTGGTTCTTCCCCCCGTGAAGAGAAGGAATGCGGAGGAGGGTGAGACGGAAACAGGGACCCCGAACTGAAACAATCAGGAAAGTGCGCTCTCAAAGAAAGCAAGTGCCTCAAATGGATGTTTGCACACAGTGAGCTCATTGCCGCCGTCCCGATGCTCTCTTGGGCCCCACGGGGCCTCTTTCTGGGGCCCCTGTGGCGACAAAAAAGCGCACCTCACTTCACGCCCCCCTCATTCGAGCGACGAAGAAACGGGGTTTGCGCAAGATGGCATAGCGGCCTTACGCGGCGGTTGCTTACTCGGGCACGCCAGCGCGGCAGGCCACACTGAAGACGAGGGCGCTCACGCGCGACCTTACGCGGAAAGCGTATGCGAGAATGTCGGAGCAGTCCCCCGTTTGTTTTACGTCGCCCATCCACAGCCTCCCCACTACGCAAGGCTCGTGTAGGAGACCGGCTACAGAATCGATGTTTTCCAAAATTGCAGTTTGGTCGAATCTACGGAACATATGTAAAATGATCGTTGGTCAACGAAACTACGGTGGGGGCAATGGACAAACAACCTTTAGTTAGGAATCCAGGGTCTGGAAGCCAAAAGAACTCCAATCGTGGATCAGCCGCGGACATCACCGCCGCCGCCATCAGATGAGAGAAACCATCCAGGGTCTGCAGCCTCCACGACACATTCCTTGACGAACGCCCCCACCACCACCACCATCACCACTAAGCCGAGCAACCAGCAGCTTCGCCCAAGGCGAAGCCCATATCCAACTCTGTTGAATCGTAGCACCGATAATCCGAAAAGTAGGAGATCGTCGCGGGAGCGACGGGCCATATCAAGCGAAGATGTTTTCGGTTTCGATGGCACGTAGTGTGCCCCGCAATGAGGCACAGTCACATGTCGGCGGCTGGCCGCTTGAGTACAAACGGCCGCGGACAAACGCTCGCCATCTCTCGCCTGTGCCCCAGCCTCCTTTAGACTCGGGGGGGAAGGCGACCAAGCGTGAGTCCGCCGCCCGCTATAGGCAAGCACTATATATATATATATACAAGGTAGGCAGCAGCGGGCGCAAAAGGAAGGTTGACCCGCACGCAAATGCCCTTGCAAGCAAGTTGCTTTGCAGGCAGATCGCCTGCAGGCAATTGTTCTTCAGGCGGTTTCAGACGATTTCGCCTGGCCAGCCCTGTACGGAGTATGGCATTTGAAAGATTGCGTTCCTCCCATGACCTAAAAGCATATATATATATATATATATATATATATATCGATGTTCCCTTTGGTGTGTCCGCAGTCATGCCGCGAATGTTACACCACTGTATGTACACTATGCACGATACCTTGCTCCATTATCTGTCGTATTCAACTGATGTGTCCCAGAAGCGTGCGCTCAGTCGGTGTCTTCAGGTCTTTGCTTGACAATGACTTGAAGACAGAGTCCGCATCTATGGTCAAAGTGACCTGAATGCTCAGGCCGCCCATCTCCAGTATATTATTCAACTGAGTGGGTGTCAGCGGCCGCCCTGCGTGGAGTTCGTGCAGAGTGACGATCGCGGGATAGCAGTCTTCCAAGTTGCGAGCTGCTGCTAGTGTTTCTGCTCACTAGTTCGAGCGGGTCTGTTGCAGTGCGCGTTGGTAAAATGGACGACAGGCGTACCAGCAAGCGTGCTTCCACGCCGTAGCAGGCATGCCCCGCGAATACCATAGCCGTTGACCTCGCCATCCGCATATCCACTCAGACGCCGATAGCCGGAGTCGCTGCGCAGGTCGACCTCACCCGTTGTAGTCATCTTCTCAGGGAAAGCCAGCAACTTTCTGATAATCGCGTTCAGTCGTCATACTTGCATGTTGGTCGGTTCTTGGACAAGTCGCAGGGATGCAACATATACCATCAACCACACCTGTGCGATTAAAGCGTGAGCCAAAGCGCCTCCGAGGCTGACAAACATGCAAGTGACCATGTTTGATGCATTGGCGCCAGCGTCTGCGCCAGTGAGTTCAGGGCGTTGTATAGGACGGAGCTGTTTTATATATTCATCTTGATCTAGTGCAACATTCCCGCCCACATCTTTTTTGTACCTCACAGCACAATTGGTAGATTGTGTTTGTTGAATCTACATTTACCATAAGTATCCTCAACACACTTGACGCACCAGTCGATAGTGCCCTCAGTACCGGCCATACTTATATCATCATAGTGCTTGGCCGTGAGAGAGTTGGAGCTTGTCTCGAACTCCTCGTCGTCAAGCGTGGGTCTGAGACCGAAGCCTCTGGTGGTCTTTCTTAGCTTCAGTGAGAAGGCTCTCGGCGCGTCCTTGGTGCCGGTGTCTGGTTTGAAGCACTGCACGCAGTGCTTAGACTCATCGTAGTGCTCAAATCCTGGGAGGGATCTAAGCGCCGATGCGGATCCAGGAGGCGGTGCAAACCACGCCGCACGTTCCTCTTCACAGGTTGCTTCAGCAAGTTCCTGACAGGGCTGCCCCCGAAGGGAAGCCATGTTGATGTCAAGAGAAGCAGTGATCCATTGCTTCTTGCACGCCGCCGCGCTCGCGAGTAGTCTTCTGACTTGACCGCCGCGCCGCCCCAGCTTCCGCGCCGAAGGCTTCGAGGTCCATGAACCCCCGAAGTACTGAGCGCAATCTCGCGGCACGTTCCAGCTCGCCCTTCTCTTTCTGTACGAACTTCTGCTGATGTACGTATCTCGAAGTCATGATGTTTGACGCCTTGGATACGTCTTGCATATTGGAACACTCGTTGTCGAACCATGTCTTGAGTTCTTCAATGTATAGGGCCTTAGATACTTTGACTGGATTCGTCTGGACGTCGGCCTTCGTGAGGAGGTCGTCCTCCTTGACGACTACAGCTCGTTTGGCGTTAGCGGTCACATAGACTCGCACGGTGGTCGCGCGGGCGAAGTCGAATAGATCCTGTTGTTGTTCGGATAGAATGACCTCTGACATGTCTGCAGTTAAGCAGAGTTCCCTGCATTGACCATGCCCGTCAACGTCCAATCCGTAAGTTCGATGCACCACACGTCCATATCATGCGCCTCAAGGTCTGCTTCCGACTCCTCCGAAATATCAGGAAGCCGTCCGTCCTCCTGTGGTGGTTCGGTTTCTGGAGCTTCTCTGGTGTCGTTGTCTTGCGTCGGTGCGTCAGCCAGCCCCTCAAACTTCGCCGACTTGGTCGAGCCCCGCTTGAGGTTTAGTGGACTTCAGGCATTGGACCAACCTCGAATGTGCCGATCCAGTTATATCGATATATGTTTGAGGCAGTGCCTTCGGCATCATAATGATGGAAGCCTGGGTTCACGTCGCTGCCATGGCGCACCAGCGCACAACTGCCAGCATAAGCCACCGGAGGTAGCTTGTGAATACTCTTAGCTAACCTGACAGGGACTACGTTCTCGATACGAAAGAAGTTCCCAATGAGGTATTGGAGAGCTAAGTGTGCTTTAGGAGACAGTCGGATCGCACTTGTCATATAAAGCGTTCCCTTGTAGGTCGGGACGTAGCCAAATGTCATAGCAGGTCGCCCCGTTGGTAGACTGGCTACAAATGTCAACACCGCCCGTAGCGCAGCGCTGTCTGAGCCAATCTCTCGAGCGACCTAAGCTTCGATGTATAGTGAGTGTCGTGCGTCGCCGCATTGGACTTGGGCATCGCGGCTTCCCACTCCGATGATAACTTGACCCTGTCGGGATCGTTTCGTACGTCCGGGAAAGGGCCGTTCCAGCCCCCCCAAGCACCCTTCGTAGTAATCGGATATTGCTGCGTGCTGTTCATGGTCCAGAACAGGCAGGTCGGGCGTAAAGTAAATGTCGTAGTATGTCACTTCTGGCTTGAGTTGTCGGAGCGCGTCGCCCACGCGCGCGCATCCTCCGTTCAGCGCCCTCTGCCTTCAGGACTGCCTTTGCGGCGTCGTCGTTAAGTGCACCCTCCCCGTCGGAGTAGAGTCCTTCGGCAGGTCCAGATTGCATCCAGCACTGACGATACGCATCTAAGATACTGGTCATAATGCTATCTGGTATCTCGATTCCAGCAGCATACCGAATGCAACGACCAATTATATGAAATGTAATGTGATCATGTTTTTACAACACTAGGTCGCATTCGACTTCTTCCGTAAAATTAC